AAGGAGCCAGGAAGACTGCAGTGCGGAAGCCTCACCTGGGGTGTGTGTGTGTTGGGGGGGGGGGAGTTCCTCAGGCAGGGCTGCCTGAATCCGAGCCAAGAGGCCTTCCTGGAGCAGCAGGGAAAAGCTCCCTCCCTCTCCTCCCCCAGCAGCAGTGGGTTAAAATGCTGGCTCAGGAGTCTGCGGCTCCCAGGCAGGCCCTAGCCTGCCCCCCCCCCCCCCCCTCAAATGGGCTGCTCTGCCTAGTCCAGGCTCTGCGGGCAGAGGAGGCAGGAGAGGGGCCACCAACCTACCTTTGTTCTCCAAAATGAAGAAACAGGCAGGAGCCTCGTCCGCCTCCCCCTCCTACAGCTGATACCACTTTAAGAAACCTTTCATTAAGAAAAGATTCAGACAAAGGGGCCCCACAAGTGCTTCCTTTGGCTCAAAGGGCCCTTGAATCCACACTCACTGCAGAATGGAACCCATTGCTGACTAGACGCGGAAGCCCTTAGACCACATGGAAAGTGACAGCCTGAACTGAGGCCTCAGGTACACACCGCGAGCGTCTCCCAGTTCCTTTCATTCAACATTCCTTGTTGTGCACAGAGGAACCCAACCTGCAGCTCCTCCAGGGGTTGAAGAACAAGGCAGAAATGAGCAATAACTTCCAGGTTTTTACAGGTGAAGATGTCAAAGTAGCCATGCAAGTGGCCCTAGAGCCAAGTTCCTGAGCCTCCCTCCACAGAGGAACAACAACAGATCTGGACAGTTTTCATCCAATCTCCCACCTCCCTTTTTTTTTTTTTTTGACAAAATAGTTCACCTCCAGCTCCAGGAGACCTTGGAAGACGTGGATGTTCTGGTTCTGTTCCGGGTTTTAGGCTGGGATATGGTGCCCAGAGGTCTTTGCTCTCTCTCTCTCTCTCTCTCTCTCTCTCGCAGATGACCTTGGCAGGCTCGAGAGGTGGGTCATCCATCCGATCCCTCAGGGGCCTTCAACCCCATTCATTCGCCCGCCATGGTCTCCCCCTGGACTACCTGGGAGGGGAGGAGCTCCAGTAGGGGGCTTCTCTCTGGTTGCTGCCAATCAGCTGGGGGGGGGTGTGTGTGTGAACTCTGTCAGAAGCCTCCCCCACCCCCCGCTTTGCCTGGGGCCTCGCTCCTCCTTTCCACTCCTACTAAACAGCTACAAATAGGAAGCTGCTTGGTCAGGTCTTCTGCAGGTAGGAGAGCGGTACCTTCCCTATGCTGATAACACCTGGTTGTACAGCTGCACCTGGGCGACCAAGCAATGCCAGGAAGGTCCTTTTCCACAGCCTGGACAATAAGCTTCAGCCCTGGAAAGACCCATTTCTTTACATTTTCCAAAGGTAACTTTGCCTGGTGTGACCCTTCTCCAGCCAGGGTTGGGATGCATTCCTGCTGCCTGCTTGAACAGCTGTGAAGGGCTGGGGGGCACCAGTTCGCCTTCTGGGCCAGGAAGCACTGGCTCCCAGCGACTCCCAGGCCTTGCTCACCTCCCCTTTGGATGGCTGTCCTGGCCCCCACGGGAGATGCCTGGAGGCACAGTCAGAATGCAGCTGCCACCTGCCCACCATTTTTCCTTGTGCCCAGGTGACACCACTGCCCTGGCATCGGGGCTGGTTCCCAGTAATCCTCGGGGGTGGGTGGGAATCAAATTTCTGGTTCTCCCCTATGAAGCCCTGTGATGAAAGTCTGCAGAGATTCCCAGTCTTTTCGCTCTACAATTTGGGGTGAGCATCCTTTGAATGGTCTGGGAGTACGAACGGATTTCCAGAGGGAAGATGGCAGACTACCAGAACCAGGGGCACCACTGAGGAGGCCACAGAGAAACCTCCAGGCAGCCTCAACGACCCTCTGAAAGGGTGCAAACCAACTCTCTGCAAGGAATAGAAATCCTTCCATTCCCCACTATCCTGGCAGAACGGAGGAAGCTTCTTGGATGAGAAGCAAAACGTCTTCAAAAGAAACAAGGAATTCCAGTTGCCTCCTGAAAACAAAAAAGCACCTTTGGGACAAGCCCTGTGGTGTTTTATCAAGCCTGCCTCCAGAATTGTTGGCCCACCTGTTTCAATCTAACCGGGTTGGCACACTCCGTTTCCTACAATTAAGCAGTCCCACCTCTTAGTGCCTTTTGTGTCTTCAATCAGAGCAGAACTGGAAGGGACCTTGGAGGTCTTATAGTCCAACCCCCTGGCGAAGGAGAAGACCCTACACACTTGGAGAACAGTCCCTTCTTAAGATCCTCCCGTGAGGAAGGTCTTGGCACCCACCTTCGGACTATGCGGTTCCCCTCCCAGGGGTTGGGACAGATCCCATCCTAACGGTGCTTCTCTGAGGCCCTGAGCCCATGGCTGAATGTAGGGTAGTTTGTTCTGTGGCCCAGATTTGTCATTATGTTTATGGTTTTGTGTTAATTTTTGAATGTACGTTTGTCCTTTTGTTTTTAGGCTGCAAGCCACCCAGAGTTGACTGGAGGAAGGCAGTGACTAAGGCTGAAGGCTGGGCAGCCCAAGGCCTGGCTCTTTCCCCAGCAGAGGCTGCTCCCTGCACCAGACCCCTTCAAGACTGGGATGGGATGGCTCCGGGGGGGGCCTTGGCACAGAAGGAGGGGAGGGGATGCCCAGCTGCCCTTCCCTTCAACCAAAGGAAGAGCCAGAAGGCGAGCCAAGGTTAAGCAGGCTTACAATCTCTGCTGCTGCTTGGTGGGGGGCGCAAAAGGTGATGGGACCATTTTCCGGAGGTAAAAAAAGGCGGCGGGGCTGGCAGAATGTGAGCTCAGCCTCCAGGGCCTGCCCTCGGCCCACAGCGGCCCTTTGCAGAGTCCACTGTCGGCCTTCAAGCAGGCGAGGCGGTGATAAGAACGGGTTCCTGGCGCAGAGCAAAATGCCACCCCACGGGGGGCTCCCAGGAGGCTTCTGGGGGCAGCGGATCGGGGCCGGAGACTGAGCAGGCCCAGCTTCGGGGAAAGGAGGCTGAGCGGGGGGAGTTGCGGACGCGCCTGAAGCGCCCGGCGCCTTTCGAGTCCAAGAGCCGAGCCGGCCGGCCGGCCGGATGCGCTTAGCGGCACCTTCGGCTTCGGCCGTCCTTCAGCCTGTACTTTAGGCCGTGTTGGGTGGGGGGGGTTGTTGCGGAGCGGGGGACAAAGAGAAGCCCGCTGGGCGGGGCAAATGTGGGGAGCGGGAGGTCCACGGAAAGCCGCGGGGGCGGGCAGAAAGCGCGAGTGACCAGAAAAGTTTGAGACAGAAAAGGGGCGGAGGGAGAACGCCAGAAGAAAGGAGGAGAGAAGGGGGTCGAGGAGAGCCGGCGGCGGGCGCCCCCCCCCCCCCCGCTCCGGATTGCCATCCTCGGTCGGCGCCGCAGCGCTGATCGCACCCGTCCCCTCGCTGGTCCCCGAATGGGCGAACTGGGCAGCCGTGGGAAGGGCAGGGATCGCGCTTAGACCCCCGACTCTTTCTCGGTGAGGCAGACTGGGAAAAGTTTGGAGACGCCGAAGGATCTGCGGGCGGAGGGACCGAGGCGGAGGGACCCACCCCCATTCCCAGCGGCTTGTGGTCGAGCGTGCGCTGGGGACCCCCGCAGTCGGCAGGACAACCTGCCGTGAAGACCTTGCACAAGGTGTGCGGAGATGGGCGGTCTGAGGCTACTCCAGGGAGGCGCTCTGCACGTGCTCTGGAGGCGCCGGGTTTGCTTATGGGTTCTGAGCGCTGGCTTCCCAACGAGTCCCCCACGGGGCTGGGTTTACGGGCTGGTGGGTGCAGGCGTGCGTCCAGCTTGGGTGCGAAGTCAGCCTCATCCCCGCCGGCGTCTGGTAGCGAACGGCCGGAAGGCAGGCAGAAGTAATCCGATGGATATTGGGGGGGGGGGGGGGGGGGGCCCCGCCCCCCCCCCCCACGAAACGAACCTATTGAGAAAACGGCTTGCCTCGGCCCCGCGGTGAGTCGCGCAGCAGGAGGCTCTTTAGAGGCGGGAGGGGTGCGCTCCACCGGCTTCAGAGAGGCCCCGCCCCAAGGTGGGCTGCCAAGCGGGGACCCCTTTCACTTGGGTGAGCTGTAGGCCGCCGGGGAGTCTGTACAACTGGAAGCCTTCCCCCCCGCTCCTATCCTGGGCTTAAACCCCACAAGTGAAGAACTTGGGGGCTACATTTGCACAAAGGCCAGGCTTGGTCGGCTTCCCCCTTGATTCTCTCTTCAGTCCTGGTTCGCTTGGTGCCTGAAAATGTAGCTGCCCAGTTGCTGAGGGAGCAGGGCAGTGGTTCCAGTTGTCCTGGCTGGGAAGGCAGCACCCTCCTGCCTCATGTCCCACCCTGGTCCTTGGGAAAGAAGGCAAGGAGCTCACCCAACCATGGGCTGCCCCCACGGTGGTGCGCTCACAGAGGGAGCCTTGTTAGAGACCCCCACCCCAAGGGCAGGAGCCTTACCACTCACTCCCTCCTGCCTGCCTTGAGTTGGGCCTGAATAAGAGAAGAGGGGGGTGGGGAGGTGGACACCGAGGTTGACACTGAGATTGCAGGCAGGGGGGGGGCACCCACCATCCAGTCAACAATTTGGCTTTGCTGCAGGGAGGGGGGGATACTCCTCCAAGGACCTCTTGGGGACCCTGCCATTTGCCCCTGTGAGGTGGGCCTTCCCCACTGCCTCCCCTGGCCATTCGACGGACCTCGGCTGGCTTGGCTTGAGCTGTGCCAGGATGGGGGTGGGGGAATCCAGGCAGGGGATCAGACCGTGAGGCCAGGCCAGGAGGATCTGCACTGGCTGTGCGCTTTCTCCTAGCACCTGATCTCTACCCAGGTGACCCCTGCAAGACGGGGACAGGTCCAAAAGGCAGCCGTGGAACTTCCTCCCCTGCAGGTGAGCCAGGCTTCTCTTGGGAGTGAAGGAGGAGGGCAGGTGCAAGGCCTTGAGGGCTCCCCCTGAAGGGCCAGGGATGGGCTCTGCCAAGCACAGGGCTCTCCCATCACTGCTAACTCTCTGCCCTCCCCCCACATCAGGTGAAGGATGAGGAGCCTTCCCAGGTGGCAGCGGTGGTGGTGCTGCTGCAGCTGCTGTCGGCTGCCCTTGCTCTGGGTCGTGCTGGCTGTCTGCACAACGATCGGCTTCACGGTTCAGCTCCTGGGCATCTCCCTTTCGAAGAGGTAACGCCTGCCCCCCTCCCTCCAGTTCAGCTGGGCAGAGGAGGTGGGAAATGCCTGGCAGAAGGTGGCCAGACCGCAGAGGAGATCTCGGGAGGAGGGCCAGACCAGGATCGGGCCTAGTGGAGTGGGAGCCCAACGGGGAGTCCCAGGGCCAGGAGGGAAAGGCAGAGCCTCCCCAGAGAAGGTGCTGGCCAAACCCTCCCCCCCCCCCCCCCCCCCCCCCCGGTGGCCCAGACAGCTAGCAGGGCTTGTCCAGGAAGGCACCCGGTTCTGCTTCCGAAGGGAGCCTTCCAGCCTTTGTCAGCTCCTCCTTTTCCAAACTCTCCCAGCAGGCTGTCCTCGGCTCCTCCGCTGCTCCCCTCCCTGCCTGCTCCGGGCCCCTCAGCAGGGCCTGCGGGGGTGGGGGAGGTAGAGCCTGGCGCCCCCCTCCTCTCCTGCCAGCCACGGCAACACCTGGTCTTCCTGAAGACGCACAAGACTGCCAGCAGCACCCTGGTCAACATCCTGCACCGCTTTGGGGACACCAGATCGCTGCGCTTTGCCCTGCCATCCGGCTACCAGTTCAACTACCCCAAGCTCTTCCAGGCACGGCGTGTGAAAGGCTGGCACCCTGAGGGGCCCCCATTCGACATCCTCTGCCACCACATGCGCTTCAACTTGCTGGAGGTGGGTGGGAGGGGTCCAAGGCAGCTAGGCTGGCTTCAGGAGGAGGGAGATGGGAAGGAGGGCACACACAGAGGTCTTGAGGCGCTTCCTCCAAGGGGCTTTTCACAGCCCGGAGGGAGCTTCGCTTCTGGCTGGGGTTGTAAGGCATCCCATCTCCCAAGACGCTGCTAGCTGGGGCTCCCCCAGAGTGGGAGGATGCGGAGCAGGCGAGAAGGGCTGCCTAGGAAGGCGATGGGTGCCAGGAGAGGGAGCGACCTGGAAGAAGAGGCTGTGCACCTGGTTATGCCGATGGCCTGGGCTCCAACTTCCACCAAGGAGATGGGCCGGAGCCTGCCGTTTTCGTGGGCATCATCCCCCGTGGTTGGCATTAGCACTAACCTCCGCCTGTTCCCCTCCAGGTCCAGAAGGTGATGCCCACAGACAGTTTCTATTTCTCCATAGTGCGAGACCCAGCTTCCTTGGCGGAATCGGCTTTCTCCTATTACCGGGGTGTGGTCCCCGCCTTCCGCCGGGCTCGCTCACTGTCGGAGTTCCTGGCTTCTCCACAGAACTTCTACCGGCCTGGGGAGCGTGGCAGCCACTATGCCCGCAACCTGCTCTGGTTTGACTTTGGCCTTGATCCGCCAGCAAGCCCTGGCCTAGCCGCCATCCATGCTGCCCTGCTGGGGCTGGACCGCATTTTCCACCTGGTGCTGCTAACGGAATACATGGACGAGTCGCTGGTCCTCCTGCGTGACGCCCTCTGCTGGAGCTTTAGGGATGTGGTGGCCTTCCAGCACAACCTGCGGAATCCAGAGGCGGTTCACCAGCTGGGCCCCATCGATGCTGCTCAGCTCCGCGCCTGGAATCACCTGGACTGGCACCTCTACACTCATTTCAACCGCACTTTCTGGGCGCGGGTGAAACGCTTTGGCACTGCCCGCATGGCTGGCGAAATGGCCGTTCTCCGGAAACAGCGGGCAGAGTTTACCCGGCGCTGTTTGCAGGGGGGGGGCCCGCTGGAGCCAGGCCACATTGCTGACGAGCGCATCCGCCCCTTCCAGTTTGGGCAGGTGCCAATCCTGGGTTATGCCCTACAACCCAGCTTGGCATCTGGCCTGCAGGTGGTGTGTCAGCAGATGGTCACTCCTGAACTGCAATACAAAGACCTCCTTGACGCCAAGCAGTTTCCCCGCCCGCACAAGAGGGGCGACCTCAGGCAGGGAGGGGAAGCTGCTCACAACAGCTCTTGGCAGAAGCCGTCCAACTGAAACGCCCCCCCCCTGGGCACGCAGGACGCAATGGGCAGAGGGGCCCTGCGGGAGCTGCAGGGATGTGCGATGCCAGAGACATGAAGGGGCTCCTCTAAACGGCTTGGAATTAAGACTCGGAGACAAAGAGGGCAACGCACCAGGCAGCTTGATGTGAGAGCAGCTTCCATAATTGGATTTCTTATGACTGGGCCAGGAAGAGCATCACACACACACACACACACACACACACACACACACACCCCTTGGGTAACCTCTTGCCCTTTGTGCACAGTATTATTTTCCCCCTCCCACCCTAACAAGGCGTCTTCCAAAGCCTGGCAGACCAGCGTTCCTGGGCCGGGAAGGGCCTGGGCTGCCTCACTCCACACTTTGGCCCATCGACACACTCCTGCTGTGTGGCTGTGGAGCACCTCTCTCCCCGGAGGCAGTGGGGCTCACACCGGGAAGGCCGGGGAAGCTGGAGCCGCCGTGGGGCTCCCTGGCTCTTCTCTGCTTGGGGGAAGGAGGCCGCCCTGGAGGCTACTCAGGCAGGGAGGCCCCGGTGGCCACGCGGACAGCTCCAGGGCCATATTTGGGGGGCCCCCCGAGCCCAGAGTTGGAGTTGGGGCAAAAACTCAAGGACCTGTGGAGGCGTTGCTGGCAAACGCTGGGAGAGAAGGAAGCTGCACTGAAGTTGAGGAGAAAGCCAGCAAGATGCACAGCCAATTCCGGATGGGAAGGAAGGTGAGAAAACAAGAATTGTTGCAATAATTAATCATTCAGCGTTATGTGACCCAATAGAAGGGCTTAATTTATGGAGTTTCACATGCAGAATAATAAATTGCAACAAATAAAAGGCTTTCCAAGTAGCTTCTTTAGCTTTGCCTAAACTCTGCCCCTCAGCCAGGCAGCCTGAAGAGTGACTGGAGCCAGCAACCAACGAGCAGGATGACCTGCTTACGGGCTTAATCCTGCTGGGGCATCAGGGTCACTCAGGGGTGCAGGGATTAGGGAGGCTTTGCCTGTCCATCTCGGGGCTGTTTCTCTTTTTAGCCTGAACAAAAGAGCCTCAAGGAAAAGTGCACGGCCTCCCCCCCCCCCCCCCCCCCCCCCCCGCTTTGCCCAGGAGGCCCTGCGGCCCAGCTGTGCCTTGCGTAAGCTCCGTAGTCCGGCTGCCACTCAGTCAAAATAAAACTGGATTTTGCTGCCCCTGAAGAGCAAGGTTGGACTATGCAAAAGGGCAGGGTGGAGAAATAGCTGTCGTCCCACATCACCCTGGGAAGGGAGCCATGGGTGTTCCCAGCAAAGTCTGCCAGCTGCTGTGAAGCCTCAGAAGCTCCAACTCTCACCCTCTCCCATCAGCCACAGCAGGCTGCTGGACTACGCCGCGCACGGCACGCTAGATGGTCTGACCGCCGTTAGGCGTGTCTAATTCTCATGGAGAAGAGCGTGCGCGGCTCCCCAGCCGGAGAAACCACACAGCTGCACAGGGCCACCTTGGCCTTCCGGCTGGGCAGGGAGGCAGGCCGGAGGCTGGAACCTGGTCACCCTGAGAAATGAAGAGCCTCAGGCTCACCCCCTTTGCTGCTATGCAACGGTTCAGATTTGCACCTTTGTTCTTGATTGGCCCCCAACAGCCAAGTCAACCGAAAAGCCAGGCCGGCACCTCTGGTTCAATGAGTAGCCACACTGTGGAACTCTCCAATTGCAAAAGCTCTTTCCAGCATTTTGGCCAGTGATGACGTTCAAATCCCCCCCCCCCATTGTACAATTACTGTGCTCACTTTCAAAAAGGAGCGTGTCCGTGTCAAAAATTAAAACACATTCATTGGTGTAGTCTGAGCCTTACTTGGTTTTGTGTTCCTAAGGCGCCTCTTATCCTTAAAAGCCAAGATCTTGCTCTCCAGAGGGGGACATTTCTGCTTTTGAGGGAAGTGACCCGTTGGTGGCAGGACTGGTAACTTTCAGCCCAGCCGCCTTGTCCAGCTGCACAGCGCTGCTTCAAGTCAGGGCCGGGTGGCGCTTTCTCACTGCCAGCCCCCCACCTGCCTTCTTCCCAGGAAGGAAACGCGTGGAGCAGCTCCTTCGGGATGGCGGGATGGTTTCTCACAACTTGAACCCTTTACTCTGAATCTGAGCCCAGGGATGATGGCGATAACAATGGAGAAGAAAAATTCAACTCTCAGGTGGCACCTCCTGGCCCGCGCACGACACGCAGAGAGAGGGCCAGAGGCCTGTCTCCTTGGGCATTACCTTCAAAAGCCCATCTGGCCACGCTGAAGAGGAAGGGCCTGGCCGGGGGGAAGATAGGCGCGAAGCCCCGAAGGCTCCCGCCGCGCAGCGGTCGAGCAAAGGGCGGGCAGTCAGCAGGGAGACGCCGAGCGCTTCCTCGCCCCGCCCGCCGCGCTGCGGCCGCCTCCCTCCGCCTGCGCCCCGCCTCCTTCGCCGCCTTGCTCTCCCGGAGACCCCGGGCCGAATCCGCCTCGCCTCGCCCTCCTCTCCTCTCCTCCAGCACCCGGCCGCCCGGAGCCCGACCAGGGGGACCCCAGCCGCCCATGCCGTGCCGCCCCCGCC